CGCGCCGCCGCCCCCGTCTCGCTCCCCCCACCCCGTGCCGTGGCCGCCGCCTCTTCCGCCGCCGGGCTCGGGGCCTCCGCGGCGACAACATGGAGGCCGTGAAAACCTTCAACAGCGAGGTTGGTATTGCAGCCCGGCCTCCCCCTCGCCCGCACTCCCCACCCGGGACCGGGCCGGCGCGCGCAGGGTGGGCACGGCCCCGCAGGGGTTTCCAGGGTGGGGCGAGCGGCGGCCTAGCGGTGGCCGTGGGGGAGGGGTGTCTCGCTGCCCGGCGCCCCTCCCCCGAGTCCGGGCGGAGGGCGGGGGGAGGGCCGCCCCGGGGCGGAGGGAGGTTCCGGTGCCTCCAGCGCCCTATGGCACGGCTGCGGGGTTGGAGGGAGGCGCCCCGCAGGTCTCTCGGGGTCAGTTTCCGCCGAGGCCTGGCCCGCCCACCTCTCTGCTGGGCCTGCGGGGTTTTCACTGGACGCCAGACCTTCCCGGGGTCCCTAATGAGGCAGGCACCCATTAGGGGTAGTGCAGGAACAGCAGCTGTGGGGCGATGATCCGTGGTCCCATTGCACGGAGTGCTTCTGATTGAGATACTGTTGGCTAGGTAACCTGCCAACCTGGGACTTAGGCTATGAGGATGGTGGGTCGGGAGGTAAGGTTTATGCTGCGATTTCTTCTATTCTTACTCCCGCCTCCTCGCATCAGCACGACAGAAAGACACAAATGGCAGGGAGAGCTGCGCTTTCAGAGAGGGAAGATGCCGGGGAAGCGTTTCCCACGGGCTCATTCACATGTCCTTGCTAACTCTAGATTTTTAATAAGCAGGTGTCCAGTTTTACACTGTTTAGTTGAATTTACTAGTTTGAAGGGAGGCAGGTTTCTGTAAAATATATTAAATGAGTTTTAAACTCCGGTTAAATAGACCTTAATGAAAACATTAAACAAACATCGCAAGTACATATTTACACAACTAGAATGATCCTCACCTGTATGCCTTAGGAAAAAATATTTTAGTGTGATGCTAAATTTGCAAAAATTTTAGGAACTTTTGGTGGGGGAAGTGCTGATATTCTGTTCTAAATAGTATGACTAACGAAATCTTAAGCATTCATCTCTTAAAGTACCAGACTTATTGCTGTGATAATCCGAAGAGGACAATCCTTTTAAAAACTGTTTTACAATTTTTTTTGTTTCTTTTCTTTATTCTTAAGAATTGGCATTTGGGAAGCTTAGCAAAGAGGCTAGAAGTTAGATAACATTCATGTGAATTGGACTCTCTGTATTAGAGTAGTAGCAGTGACACAGTTATATGAAAGCAAGCACTTTTTTGATAAAGGATTTTCTTTTTGAGCACTGGATTTTGTTTTCTCTTTTACCACTTCTTAGTAAATAATTAAAGCAACAGACTTGGGAATCTTTTCCATTTTATGTATGAATTTATAGCTGATAATTTGGGGCAAATTATAAAATTTGGTTCCACCTCACAATACTCGAGTTCTTAAAATCTGAAGTAAAAAGTATTTAATGATACTATATGTTCCAATTGATTGTTAATAGTTTCACAACTGTGCAGGGAAAAAAGCTCTATGTAGCCTTTTTATTTGCTACATACAGTGCTGCAGCACTGATGGAATGTTAAGGTTTTTTTGAATTATATCAAAAAAAAAATCTCTTATTTCCACTGCAGTTATTTGATTTACCCCACCCCTTTTTGATGGGTGTCTCTCCTTGTTGTCTATGGGGTTCCTAATATGTATCATCCCCCCCCCACGAAGATTTATGCAAGATCCCTGTGGCAGATAGAAACAAGTGGTTAGCACACTGGTTGGGCGCAGTGGAGTAGAAATGTTACAGTCGGTTTTTTGTTTCAGTATTGATGTTAGGGAAAAGGGGCCTCACATTTACATGGCTAGCTAGATGTTTCACCTCTTTTCTCATCTAATCTGTACAGGAATTTGAGATTTGTAGTAGTATTCCCATTTTAGTGTATGTAGCACTCTCCCCTTTCCCTCTATGGATTTCAAAGAACTTAAAACATCTTTTAACTCCTTTATTTACTATTAAGCTCAAACTTCATGTTTGAAAGTGGAGTTAGCTTAAAAATAGTAGCAGTACAGAGTCAGACAGAGTTGAGGAAGGGAAATACATTTGAAGAAGATTCGAAGAGTATCCTTTTTTGCTTTAAACACAAAATACATAATCTGGTTAGGTTTTTTCTGATTTTGAATATAGTTCTTTGAATGTCTGTAATGCTTGCTGACAGTTAAAATTTTGTTTTTGCAAGTAAGCATATAGTGGGAAATAGTTCAGTAATGAATATTTTCCATTAAATCATGTGTTGCAAAGTGCAAAAATAAAGAAATCTGGGTTGCAAGATGAGGAGACAAGGATGTTTTAGAGTGTTTGCTTATAGTGAATTTGGCTTTTAAAGGCATTTATCCTTGCACTGAGCCCATCAAAACTTTCTCTGCTAACTTTAAAGATCTCTTTGAAGCATTGAATTGTCAAGACATTCCATTTGCTTTATAAGGCACCCAAATTGAACTCTAAGCATAATCATTAATGTTTGTCAAGAAGATATTTTGATACTTCACTTAAAATGTTTAAAATATGAAATGCTTAGCTTTTATGGCTTGCTAATTCTCAGGTTGTTCAAGACTGCCCCCCTCCTCACCCCTAAACATTGGCTTAAAAACAGAAATGTGCCAGAGACTTTAAAGTTAAGAATATAGGTTTTTAATCTGCAACCCGTGAATGAGTTTCAGTCTGAAAAGTCCTGACCTTCTGCAGGATGTGTAGCGTTGTGATTGGTGTGTCCGCCTGCTCCCTACCCCCCCATGATTTCTCAAAGGGGTTCTGTGCCCTCCCCACCCCGTGTTCAAAGTCAGTGCCAGAAGATCCTTCATGTGGTAAATTCCTCTTAATTATCATGAGATAGAGGCTCAAGAATTGGTATTTAAGTGCCCACTGTGCTGGTTTTGTGGGAAAACCATAACTTGCACTTAAGCATCATCATTGTGATAAAAGAGTTAATCCCATGACCACTAATGTCAGTTCTGAAATGATGAAAGTAAGTTTGTCCAGATTGGAATTTGAGACCCCCTAAGAGTCAGTGCTTGACTACGAAGTTTACTCTAGGAGAATTATCATCATTACAAGGTATTGATGTACCTTGTAATTACAAAGTTGTTGCTGCTGTAAGATGGTGGCATTTGCTTGCCGTGATAATTTAGAGTTCTCACCTCAGTGAAAAGGGTCTCATATTGGTCTGCTAAATCTGTGGACTACTTTAGAACCACAGTTGACAACTGGAATTCAGCAGTTTTATGTGAGCTGCACATCTGTACTCTGTTCTTAGGAATGCCACTGTATGAAGGTCATTATGGTAAGGTTTTTGTTTTTGAAAAGAGGGAAAAGAGAATAGCAATGCGTGACCCTTTCCTTAGAAAATTATAACTTAATTGGAGAGGGCACTTTGATAATGTGGAACTTAATATATGGAAAATATGACAATCTGTTATGCATTGGTTGTGTTTAGATAAGAAAGTAAGTGGAAAAGGTGAATTTTACTTGTGTATTGAATTCTCCTTTTAATTTTTAAGGACTTAGAAGGAAAAAGCCAAACCATAGCTCCAATACCGTTATTACACTTCAAAAAGTTAACAATAAATCTTTAACATAATCAAATACCAGTCAGTGATCAATACATGTTTAGGTTGTTTGTATTTGTATTTTTAGTTGCATTACTGTAGATGTTTGTTCCCCCGTGATCCGTTTCTCTTGCTGCCCTGAATAGGCTCAGTGGGAAAATGTGGAACCAGATATGTAGGTATGGCATGTGTCAGGAACATTATTGTAATTTAATTTTGGGATTTACCTTGGTTCATAAATTCTGAGAGGATTCTAGAACCTTTCATCATCTTTACGATACCTAAATTCTTAGTGCTTCTCGTCCTTAGGCTCCTTTGGTTAGTCAGTTTACTCTTTAGACTGTTCCAAGATGGAGACTTCCCAGAGACACTTTACGTTTTCCTCCTCTTCGCTTTGTCTTGAAGACAAAGTGAAATCCCATCTCTGTTTTACTTCATTTCCAGTTTTGTATCCAGAGTGTTCATTTGCCTAACTGCAGGACTTTTTATAGTCTTTCCACCAATCTCTAGTAGGAGACAAGGTTTGGTGGAGAACAGTGGAAAAGGTAGAGGGAATAATAAAAGCATGTGAAATTTACTTTTTATTTGTGCATTTTCCCTTTGTCTATGGTTTGGGAAAGGGAATTTATGTGAGCAGGTATAAAACATTGCATTTTTCTTTCATTTTCATCTACCAGGGAATCTGTTTCTTCTTTTTCTTTCTTGTTTTGACTTTCCAGTGGGAGTTTTGGTTAATTGTATCAGTCAGGCTATCTTTTTTGTTTCTACCTTGTGAAAATCTCTTGAAGATGTAGCATACTTAGTGTTATATAGGAAGGAAGCCTTCAGGACCTCCTCCTTGCCCCGGTGGCGGGGTAAGTGTTTGCTATGAGGAGCTATCCTGTGCATTGCAGGATGTTTAGCAGCAACCTTGGCCTCCACCCACTGGATGCCACTGTTGTGACAACTAGAAATGTCTCCAGACATTACCAGATGTCCCTTGGGGGACAGAATCCACCTTGGTTGAGAATCACTGATTTAGGTCCCCTGTTAAACTGTCTTAAAACACTCTTTCCCTTCTAGTGAGTACTGCAGTTGTGAATAATTAGTAATAGTCTTTCCCACCAGACTGTAAGTTCCTTGAGGACAATGACCATGTATCTTGTTGCTTCATATTCTGGTGCATACATAGCGCAGTGCCTTGATACGTAGTATATGCTAAATAAAGATTCTTGAATGAATGGAAGGATGATATACTAGATCACTGAAAGACCTGTAGTTAACATTTGTGGACATTTGGTTTTCTCTTTTGTAAAATAAATGACTGATTTGAGATTATATTTAGGTTCCCTGTTACTTGGAAGATTCTTTGACTAAATATAAAATTGATTTTTTTTGAGAACTTGTATGTAAAAGCATTATTTTGAAGGTCATTTTATGCACTATAGGAGTATAGGAGATTATATGGAAAATTTTAAGTGAGAGCTCTGATCTGTTTATAATTTTGACTTCTTAATAAGGGAGAGTGAGGAGGGGACTATTCCACTGAAAGTTCCAGTTAGATTAAATCCATCATAAGTTTTATGTTGTAATTATGCTGTTTTCAAATCCTTTTTTGCTTTATTGTTTTTCAGTTTAAAACAACATACGGTAAAAGTTTTTTTTTTTTTTTTACCAATATTTTAGAAAATTAGAATACAGCGATAATTGAGATTGATAATAATGATTTTGAGACTGTATGATTTGCGAGTGTTATAGTGTTAATCATTCAAGATTAAATATAAAAATTTTTTGGCAAGATTGAAATCCACGTGATACATATAGCTCAACGATTTTATTCTAGGCTAGCATTGAGTTTGTTACAGTCATTTTGATTGACATTTAGGGGACATCTGTATTACCCAGTCTCCTAAATAGTCATATTTTATGATTACTTGTTCCTTGTTTAGAAGGGGTATAGTTGGCTTCGAATTAGTAATGATATTACTACTTGTACATGGAATTTCAGGTATCTCTTTCTAGGCCCAGTTTTGTTGTTATTGGACAACTTCTAACTCATAAGGGTGTGAGAGAATGTAATCAACCTTGACCTTGAACACTGGCTGAGCTCCTCAACTCTTAACTGAGCTCATTTTATCTGGTTTTGTTTTCTCAACATCTTTCTCTACTCCTCTCTCTCAGGATTGTGCCTCTACTCCTGCTTGTACAGACTGCTTTTCCAGCAGCATGGACACAAGAAGCATAGTAAGATGATTAAAATCCACATAAGGCAGGCCCTTTGGAAAATATTAGGTTTAAATTCGTAGTGAAATGATGTTTTGATTATATGGGCAGTACTTGGGAAGCAGAATAAAGTTTGTCACTTAGAATATATAAGTAATCTTAAAGAGAATATGTAGGGACTAAGTTGAATTTCTTCACAAAAAATAGGTTAAGTGAAAAAAAAACTTACTGTGCTTGACAGTGAGCGTAAATCATATATAAACTCTTGTTGCATTTACTTGCATTCTGCTCCACATAATTTTACTGTATTTTTTGTAAAAGAAATATAACATTATCTATTTAATATGAGTAAATTGCAAACCTCTTAATTTGATGGTTGAAAATAAAATACATCTTATATTTTGAGGAAGTTATTCAAACTATAAGATGACAAATCATTGACAGATATACTGTAGGAATGGAGAAACAAACAAAGGCTAAATCAAATTTTTGATTTTCTAATTATAGAGGAGCAGATTTTGGTAGAAGTACTGTTATGAGAAATAAATGCTGATGAAAAATGTTTCTATGGCCTATGGTGTCTTAGATGTGAGTTAATTCTATCTCAAGTTTGATGGTAAACAATACATTTGCTCTTTCTGATTTTGATTTTATGCATTTATTTTGTCTTTCTAATTCTGCTTTACAAGAGTTTCTGATACACCATATTTTAAACTCAAGGAGGGGTATATAAATGTGTTACAGTTATCTACTGTAGGTCAGGAAATGTCTTAGGAACTTTGACATTACTGCATTTAGTCTGAATGGGGATTATAGATTATTCATGTTTTTTTAAAGGCAGTTATGGCTATTAAGTTAACGTATGACAAATTTGTTTTTAAAATAATTTTGCAACTTAATTTATGTAGGTTGACTTGAATGACCTAGGATTTCATTCTTTCATTTGTTCATTCATTTAGCCAATACTTAATGAATGCTCGCCACATACCAGGCGTTTTTCTATCTGTTGGGATGTAGTAGTAAACTAGACAATCAAAAAGCATACCCTCTTGGAGCTCATGTTCTTGTAATCCTGTTTCTTTCACCTTGTCAGCTCTATGTGCAGTGATCTTGTGGCAGAGCTAGTAAGGCGGGGCAGGCGTTACTGAGTCTGGGCTTGCCTCTTGTGGCTAGGGACTGGGTTGGTTGCAGCTCTTCTCTACAGGCTCATTTCTGCCTGGTCTGTTCTCAGCATTTTGCCCTGCGGAGTCCAGATTGCTTGTCTGCTATTCAGTGTAAAGACTGAACAAGTAGACTTATTTAAACCAGAATGAGATCTTATGTTTGCAACAGTGGGAAATAAGATGAGCTACATTGTTTTATTTTATACCAAATTGTTTATCACGTATTAGAAGAAATCTCCATTTGGTATTTTGGAGTCACAACTATTTCTTATAAAATACTTTATAATAAGCTTTTTTAAGGAGGTTGTCTTGTGTCAGTGAGATACTAATTAGTCTCCACATGCAAATGATTTAAACAAAACTTTTGTTAAGTGGTGACCAAACCTGTATGAGTTTAGAAGAATAAATTAATAAATATTTTTATTTTTAAAACTTCCTTGATTTAAGTACATGAAAAAATTTGGGGTCTCTTTCTTTCTCTTATAAACACTTATTTTCTGATTTTGGTTTGATTCCTCAGGCCTCATTTGAGTAGCTTGTGAGTGAAGGATGAAACAGTTTGGATCATGTACTTTAATGTGTAGAACTTGGGAAATGATGTGAAGATCTTTTTATACTGGGTCACAGTAACTAAAAAGTTGACCAATACACCTAAAACTAATACAGTGTTGTATGTCAGTTATATGTTAATTAAAAGAAATGTTGATCGGTTCCTAGTTAATGGCTTTCTTTAATTCAGTAATATTATTTGATACTATAAAGTTTTATGGTAAAAACTAGATACAGGTATTTGAATTTATTGAAATATTTGAAGCATATGGGTAAAAGAATGTTGAATGAGTCAAAATTTTTACAAATGAAAACATCTGATATAGCAAATGTCTAGTTTTTATAACAGCTGCTCTCTGTGATGAGAAAATGTCTGGCTTATGTGTTTTTATTTACCAAACATTGTTAAAAGTGAGCCATTTATAGTATATAGTGTTTTATACTCTGCCCCTCTTTTCCCCAACCATCATCATGTTTCAGTGGATCTTTAGGATAACCTTGTGAGAAAAGTAGGATAGGTACTGTCGTCATTTTACAAATGAGGAAACTGAGGCCCACCATTGTGATTTTACCAAGGAAATGCAGCTTTGTAAGTATTAGAGCTGAGACTAGAAGGACCCTGGTTGAGATGTTTGTCTTACCCTTCCCTGTAAAGGAGAGCCATCACTCGATTTTTCACAATTCCTTTTTACTGGCATAATGTCCAAATATAACTTAACTTTATTTTTTACCACTTTATAAACTTTATTTTTACAACTTCAGATTTATAGAAAAGTTGCAAGAATGATAAAGAATTTTTGTGTACGCTTCATCCTGATTCTTCTCCCTAAGTATATTAATCATATTTGCTCTCTTATTCTCTTTCTCCACATACACGTGGGCACACACAAACTTTTTTCCCGAACTTTTTGAGAGTAAATTGCAATTCATGATGCCTTTTACTTCTAAATAATTGTATTTTCTAAAAGCAAGGACATTCTCTTACATAACCATAGTACAATTATCAAAATCAGGAAATTAACATTGATGTAAGGCAGTTGTCTCCAGACCTTATTCATGTTTCACTGATTGTACCAGTAATGTCCTTAATAGAAAGATTAAATCCTGCATCACACCTTGCATTCACTTGTCTTGTCTCTTTAGTGTCCTTTAATCTGGAACAGTTGGTTATTACTCTTTGTCTTTTATGACCTTTGGTGCTATTTGATGAGAATAGGCCAGTTATTTTTAGAATTCCTTCAATATGGATTTGTCTGCTGTTGCTTCATGATTAGGTTCAGGTTATTCATTTTTGGCAAGAAGACTCCAGAAGTGATATTGTGTCTTCAGTAAGCACATGATGTCCATTTATCCCATTAATAGGGATATTAACATTTTTCTGCAAGGCTTCTCCATTGTGAAGTTACTGTTTTTCCCTTTGTAACAAGTATCTTATGGGGAGATATTTTGAAACCATGCAAATACCTTGTTATTCGTCAAACTTTCACCCCTTTGTTTTAGCATTCATTTAGTAGTTCTTGCCTGAATCAGTTAGTAATAAGATGGTTGCCAAATGGTGACTTTTTAAGTCTGTCATTTCTTTATTTAGTTGGCATTCTGTAAGACCTTTTCCTTCTCCCCATTTATGTATTAATATGTGTCTGCCTATCAGTATGAGCTCATGGGTTCTTTTTTATTCATTGGAGTTTTTCGATGCTTAGATTTTGACCAGAGCTCCTCCGGGCTGGCTCTTGTGTCCTTTTGACATGTGCTCATCATTTTTTGAGCACTCCCTTACTTTCTTGTCCAATAAGATATTGCCGCCCCAGCCCTGGAATCAGCCATTTCTCCAAGGAGCCCTGGTTTCTTCTAGGGGACATCTATTAACAAATTGAGCTAGAAATTGTATATGTGTGTGAACATACGTGTATGTATGTATACACACATTTTTATGTTTTTTATCTAATCTGTCTGCCTGTCTAAAAAGCCATGACATCCTGACATCTCCAATTCCAGTGCAACACCATAGGGTTCATTCTAGCCTTGCCCCTTTCCAAATTGGTAATCCCTTTCTCTGACAGTGAGAAAACTAGTTTCTTTTATCCAGAATGTATTAGCTTATTATTTGATCGGTCCTAAGATACACAGAAAGTAGTTTCAGAATAGCTAAACCATATGTCTGTGAAAACAAACCTATTAACTAGAATTTAATGTTTGTTTATAGTTCATTTTTTGTTTAGCCTGAGGGTATATAGTCAAAATACTGTTCAAACATTGCTTGGTTAGTTTTTTTCCCTTAATGTAGTTCTGCTAGTCATTTAAAATATAATTAGGTTCAATTTTTTCTGTTTGTATTCTGTTTTGTTTTTTTCCTCCATCCATTTTTGTTATTTCATTTTTTTCATATGCAAAGCATTAAACATAAATTAACTTGAATCCTCCTTTGCTTTTTTATTAGCTTCAGCATCATAACCACTTATGCTCTGGTAAGCAAAAAACAAAACCCAAAAAACCATTTTCTTAACATTCTTCAAAGCAAATAACAAGCTGAAATTCAGAGGTCTGGATATGGAGAAGGTCTTAAGTGAAAGACCTGTTTCTAATAGCACAGATTCAGTTCGTACGTGAAAGGAAGTGTATGTTCACAAAAACTTGCATTCTCTTGTGAATGGAAACCCCATTCCCAGAGGTCGGTAGACTTGTTCTATAGAGGACCAGATAGTAAATATTTTAGGTTTTGTGGGCCAGTTAAGGCCACTTTCTCATGTTCTTCTTGTTGCTCTCACAGTTCTTTTAAAATATAAAAACCATTCTTGGCTTGAGGGCCTACAGAAATAGGCCCTGGGCCATACTTTGCTGGCCCCTGCTGCAAACTCTGAAACCTGAGATCTTGATTAATAGCATGCTACTTATAAATCAGAATTGTAATTGAGCAAGATGTATTCCTTATAGGCTTTTATAAGGCTTATTTTAACATCAAAACAGAAACAAAACAACTTCAAAGCTGCCTTAGTGAAAATATTTATTCAGCAGATTTTTAAAGCACCTACCACATGTGTAGACAGTATTCTAAGCTGTAGAGATTTAACAGTGCACAAAATAGATGAAACAAAACCAAAACCAAAACCACCCACCCCCCAAAAACCTCTGCCCTCATGGAGTTTGCATTCAGTTTTTGTGTGTGGGTGTGTACTGGCAATGCACATTTCTTGTTTTTCCTCATTTAGTGACATGTTTTATCTACCACAAGTTGTTTTCATATTAATTGCAGACCAAGCATTCTTTCTTGAAAACTTGATAAAAAATGCAGCAAAGGGGGCAAACTTTTAA